AAAAAAAAAACATTTTTTTAGCAGAAATTCCATTTAACTAACAACATTACCAAATTAATTACAAAACATTTGCCAATACAAACCAATAATGAGAAATATAATGAGTGTATCATCCACAAGCATTAACGACCCCGGGTCAAAGTTCACTATATTTTTTCTATTACTATAGCCAAATATTCAGTAAGCTTGACAAACTTGTAATTTCCTAGTGTTTTAAAATACCCTGGAAAGGTGCTTCGGTGTTCATAAGCAATTAATATTTCCATGCAGTAACGACGCTTTCGGTCGAATTGTGTTAGCGGTTGGCGTAATGTTACCACCAACGGATCATTTGGCTGAGAAAGCTTGGTATTTTTTCCAGATTTGCAGAAATCTTAAAAGCCTGTTTCTCAACTTGTTTCTTTATTTCAAGCCGTGCGCGAAATGGGTCTCATATGAACAAAGAGGGTACGTTACTGAGCCTTAACTAAGTGATTTATTTAGTGATTGATATTGGAGAATTGACTAGTGCACGACGTCACACCCAGATAAAAACGTTGAAACAAATTACAATATTACATTTACAAATTACGAGATTCACTGTCAATTAGACGTCCAAAATACATTACAATACATCTACAATAAAACTCCGACTATGCAATGTTTTTATTTCCCATTATCATTTTAAGTTTCTTAACTTCTGTCAAACGTGTGAAATAATTTATTTGCTTTCTGGCTTCCTCATTTACTTTCCCTGCTGTGATATTTTCGGTGTCATATTATTTCTTTGTTTTATCGCTTCATTGAGTTTACCATTGATTTCCCAAATAATTAAAGTTCCTGGTTTTATTTCTTTACCCTTATGGAAAAATGTGTAGTCACTAGCACTTATCAGTCGGTTAGTTTTGTTGAAGAAATGTTTTTCTGTGTTAACCGTTAGCTTTCATCGCTCTGTGTACACTGAGAGATGATCTAAACAGTTTTCAGACCCGATTAATGTCGTCTGCATATAAAAGGCATCTGACAATAGAGGATATCATAGACAACCGGAAAATTCCCAAACTTGCTCCGATGTACGGGTGCACGGTAACTCTGTGTAACCCATGGATTTTTTTCAAAGGAATTATTCACAAATGTTTTAAAAACAATAAGAAAATGTACTTGAGTAGTATACCTTATACTAGATATATACGCTCGCTGCTATATTCATAGCAATGTAGGACTTCGAGCTGATCACTTCTTGCAGGTATACTTGTGTCTCTTTTGACAATAAATATAAATAAAAAAGTGTTGATATAGGCCGAACAAAAGTTTAGTGCACCAATTGAACATGTCGAACGGAAATGCATGGTATATAGTATGATGTTATTACGAGGATACCGAAAAGTAAGCACGAAGACAGTACAGCAGAAGCATCGACCGACGCTTATGTGCGTAATAATTCCATATTTGGAATTTGCATTTCCTAATATGGTAGGATGAAAATACCCCATGAAATTCCGCAAAATTACGACACGCTGTAACTTATGGCGTTACGGTGTCAGATATAATAATGGCGTTTATGAAATGTACATGTTGTTAGGGTAGATCTTCGTCAAGCTAAACCTATTGAAATTACGATAAGACTATGCTTGCATCGGTCAATTTACACGTCGGTATAATAATAATACAATACAAAACAACCACCCGAAAATCGTATTGTCAAACTTGGCGAAGCCGATGAAGCGACGCCAATGTTGACATTGACCTGAGGCTCTAACAACATACTTCGAGCAGGCGGACATTGACCTCGGACGATATACTGCGAAGCTGAGTGCGGGTTGACAATGAACTGTTGTCAGGATAAATTCCCCTGCATGAAATACCTCATTGGTCAATGGATACATTTTACTGCAAGAGAAGATAGTTGCCACAGCGATGGAAATATCTTATACGTCGCATTGCTGGAACAGATTCACGTGGTTATAGAAACAAAATACAATATTCCCGATATTAATATTGATTGCTTAGCAAGCAAAACGGTCGTGAAACAATTTTCCTTTTGCAATAACCATTGCATTCCAGAAAATTTTAGGTCTACATCCTAACTACAATTAATTATCTAGTAACTCCAAAACGTTGAAATATTGAGCCAAACTAGTTTATGGTTATTGTGATTGTGATTGCTGACATATATCATGTAAAGTAGTTTTTTATCAATGAGTTTATTAGTTAGATTGACAGTTACGAGCTTTACGTTAGGGATTAATCGTGTTTTATTGTAGCTGTGATTGCAGCTGTGATTGATTTTCCCACAATCCAATGCACTCTTCTAAAGGATATCAAGAGTACGAGTTTTGACCATGGCGCGACGTGCACTAACAACCGCTGGTGACTCCTTTGATACCCTTCAATCACCAAAGAAATTACATACATACTTAAAACTTGGGAACGTCTGAGTATGTACTCATTGCCTTGCCCAACAGTCGCCATCTTTGTTCACATGTTGCACATACACATGTTTCTGTTTTCTGATTGGTTATTACTTACATCGCGCACTGTACTACACGGCAACGCAATATAACAACATTTAATGGCGTTTTATAAATTGTGTCAATATATCTTTTACTATCCGGGAATATCAAATAAACATCGCCGCCTGTGCGTTATTCGCGGTATTGTAATTTCGCATATATCACATCGAATGAAAATAATTGCTATCTCTGTGTATATGTAAGAGTCTCTATTAAAATTATACTTTATAAATATAAACATCATGTTGGCATATATAATAATGCACAGTATCTAGTAATTAATAATGACCACACAGAGATGTTATTCACTGCAATGAGCAAACAACATAATATAATCGACATCAAAATCCCTTTTGCTGTTTATCTACGCACACTTTACAAAATGATTCAAACAAAGCGGAGATTAACAAACAGAGACTGACTATAACCAGCATGCACAATCAAATGTTTGATATACATTTATCATTGATCCAATTTCTAAAGAGTTTTAATGCGGATCGTCCAAAAGTACACGAATTAAATTATAGAGATGATTAAAATTCAGTACCTTGTTGAAAAGCAACCTCGAAGAGTACAGTTATATTCCAGTCACGACAGAGGCTTCTAGGCGTTTCGTGTCTTGGTCCAAACTGCAGCTTGCCCAGACTTTGACCTTTGACCCGGCTATCTGTTAAACAATATATATTGCTGTCAATTAGTTTGACTGACATCACTTATCATTATAACGCCAGTCACAAATCTCTGGTTATCTCTGGTTATTGTTTGATAATCTGATATGAATCCCTGTCTGGCAAACTGACATTGACTTCATTAAACCCAACTGTTCATTACACATTGAAGACAAACGTACATTCTATATTTGATTCTCAATACAGGTTATATATCAATTATACCATATGAGACGAATTGCTTTGCTATTGGCCTGTTTCCGGACGCATGACACGAGAGTACATCAACAGCCACATTGAGAATCGAATAAGGTGATTAACCTACGTGACATTTACTTGGCATGCCAATCTAGCCGGATTACTCCCCAATGATAAATTATTGTAGTGTAGTAAAAATGTCAAGTACAATTACAAAGTTCGTATCAATTCGGGTAAATATGCAGTGAAAACACACCACAAAATATAATGTACACTTAAATGATGTAATGTTGCTGTCAATATTTAGAAAAGTTTAATTTGTTCCCACATTTCATAAGTTTGTTTGACTTGAACCAGTGACCATATATTTATATCAATGAAGATCGCCTTGTCAATCAAATAGATTGACAGTTGTTATCGAATGTATTGATACAGATAACATGGTAAGACAAGTGATGTGCATGATCTCCCATATTTTACCCACTTCACCTACCAGTTCTTCGTCTGGCACCATTTCAGCACACCCTTTGGTAATGACAGCCTCCATAAACATATTGTAGTCTTCATGGTAATGCGGATCTTTGACAAATCTTTTCTTTAATTGTCTCACCCGTTGCTCTATTACCGACATGTTATCGGGCATTTTTATGTCATGTTGTCGAAATAGTAAAGGTACCTAGTAGTGACCATCCACATGTTGTCTTGTCAGCCATCATATCCATAAACCTTTTATCTTCTATATATATATGTTTCTGGTTTATCATCCATTGTCCTTCCACTGAAATCGTAATTGAAGTATTCAGCTAGTTGTTCATCTGCCTGGGAACCAACTTGAATTCTGCTCAATGACACTGTTGTCAAGTTGTCTTGTTCAAGATCTACAGCCCTTTTAAGACAATACTCTTCGGATAGCATATGGTCTGTCATCTTTACTGTTGGGAACTTCCCATGGTTTAAATGTATTGTCAATAAGTAGACCAATGTCAGCATCAATGTTCACATCACGTAAATGTGCCCATCCTGCTATGTCTTTCTGAGTTAGAATGTCTTTCTTCGACACTGGAATTTCATCCTGAGTGTAGGTGACTGGAAGTGGAATAGCAATATCGGCAACTTTCAACTCTTTGACTGCTGTCTTATTTTTATCTGTACAAAACCCCGCGTCACTGGGATACACCAGTGGATTTACATCTGAGCAATACTGGCATGATTGCTGGTATTCTGACAGGTTCTTTTGCCTTGGCAGATTTACACCTGACATCAACTCGCCCAAAAAGGTAGTTATTGGTCTATTTCCAGTATAACTGGCACTTTCTCTCTCTGGTACAGTCTTTGACCAAGTGGTCTGTTTTCTTCAAACAGCCATAATACAGTCCCTTTGATCTGATGAACTTTGTATGCTTTTGCAGCAAAACTTATACATCTTGCTATGCTATGGGTGTTTTTTCACATAAAACACAGGTAGTACTGCAATTCTCTACTTCAGTGCTGACTGCAAATGTTGTATATTTGGATTTTGGCACTGCCTTCTTGCTACTCTTTGCACTTCTTTCCTTTGCTACCATATAAATCACCAAATACCACATTTGACATCACCTTGGCTTCTTCGTTGACGTATTCCACCAAATGGCCGTTCTTTGAGTATACCGTGCGTTTTTCTACGCCGATGTTCTTTCATTTTGTATGGTAATTTGTCAACCAGTATTTGCAAGTTTCGATGATGGTCTAATTCTTTCAGATGTATTTCACCTCTCATTGCATTATCACATTTGGTCAGGAATAGTGCAAAGTCATTCAGTGCAGTTTTCTCTTCTGATGTGACATCTGGACAATTTCGCCCTGTACTATGTATGATTTACTAATGACATGTGGATTCCCATACTTTTCTTGCAGCAACTTTCGAGCTTTTGTATATCCTTCACTTGGATCCAGATATATACAACTGGCTACAATTTCTTTTGGCTCGCCTTCAGTATACTGTTCCAAAAAGTCCAGTCTATCCTCAGGGTTCTCTGTTTTAGTCTCAATCCCATGTTTGAAAGCGCGTATAGATGCTTTATATTTCTGCTGATTAATGCCTACAGTTCAAAATAGTCATTTTGACTGACCGGAGTCTATGGTGGGTAATTGAACGTAGTAAATTTTGCTCTTCCATAAAGCAGCAGTTCTTCTCTTCCAATAATCGAAAATACACTTCATACCCTGGAGAAGTATGTCCATTGTTTCACAACAATGACTGTCTCAAGGGTTTTCCGGCTTCGCAATTTCTTGAGATAAAAGTCCCAAGGTTGTTTTGTTTACTAGAAGGGAATTTCTTTTGGCAGTATTTCTTGTATTTATTTTCATTGACACAAAATCAGTAAATATTGTTACTGAAGCACGGAATGTGCATGAATTTTTCACCCCGGCCATTCATGCACACTGCAAATCAGGGCTTTTACCGCATACATAGTTGTTGACACTTTGCAGCCACCATGATAGAATGTACTGCGTATGTCGACCCTCGGACTTTGACCTTGCATTCTGGCTACATTTACTGCCCTTTCATATCAGTTCAATTTCCGTTCATTATTTCATCCAGATTCCATGATATTTAATATTTAAAACCAACCTTCATTTCACAGTCACTCTAGTTTTCACTTTTCCAAAAATATTTTACTGATCAAAAGACTTTCCACTCCCATCATGTGATCTACCATAGTACTCCCACAGAAGTAGCGACGGTCGCCAACATATCTACAAATAACCTCGCTCTCAGGAGAATTAAAATAGCTGTCCAGAAGGTGGCGCTGTTTACAGTATCTCTCTAAAACTCAACTTCCTACTCTACATTGGAATTGGAGTCTACAGGAAATCACTTTTATGATGAGGAGTACCCACTTTAACACAGAGTATTTTATAATCAAATGACGGGGACTGTGACATTTATGTCCCTTCTTCATGTCTTAATAAAACTTTCAGTATACCACCTCTCGAAGAAATGAATTATACAGTTGCGTCACAAGTTTGAAAAACGCACCTCAGAAACAGATCATTTTGCAAAATGCAAGATTAGCCATATATAAATTTTCCTATCATACATTTAGTCTCTATACTAATGTACATTTGTTTTAAATGCTCTTTTTCCTAATTTGATTAATTCGTCCATGTATTTTGTTATTCTCGGTGTCTTCAATATGAAGAGGCTGGCTGCCTTGGTGACTTTGTTTACAAAGTCTCTGCACTGGAGCATACCATAAGAGTTCAGATAGCTGTACAGATATGTCTTCTCGCAAACTGTCTGTGAACCATCGACTGAAAATTATTAGTGATAAATTAACATTTACATGTATATATGATTTATTAGTTGTGGATGATAAAGGCCACATACATGTAAACATTACAATTACGTCTTCTTGTTCGTTTCAAGTTATCTGGTTCCCAGCAACAATAGTGGCTATGCCCATTACCAACTTAAGGTTACATATTCACTGTATTTTTCTTTCAAAGATGTGGGGCAGCAAATAGAAAATGGTTATAACACAGTTGCACCATGAGATCATTCAGAAATTTGTGGGCATGGAAATGGAAATATTATGTAAAATATGTAATACAATAAATACATGTATGCATGAATGATATCAGAGTGAATGATTATTATATTTTATTTATATGATATAGGTTTACCAAGTGAGATTAATATTGCCCTGAATCATATCAAAAAACAAGTTTCCTCACATGGATGTCGAAAGATAAGCAGCGTCAACTAGGTGAGATACAAATGTTTTATTATACAGCAGTAAACAATATGAAATGTAAACAAGTAAATATTCAAGATTGGCTCGCTGAAAGTTACTAAATATAAAGGACAAATACTGAATAAAACAGTTTTGAGGCATTGGTAAATACAGCATTATATGTATCAGTATTATATGTCAATTTTCAAATATGGAATATTATAGATCAATTGCTGATGTTATATTATTATATTTTATAGTCTATGACAGACGGCAACACAGTGTAGCACGTTTATATAGCGTTTCAGACAGTGACGAGCGAAGCTGCAACTGGAACTACTTGGCTCGAGTTGAAATCGCATCACCAGTTGACAATGGACCTTTCCTTAATTTTCGCAATGGTTTATGTCACAAACTGTTTTTCCTTCATTTATTTGAATAATTGTATTATAACCATTTGAAATATTACAATCATTTAAAATACCAAAAATTTGCTGTCTCTGAAATACATTTTTCTGTTCATAAGGTGTATTCAATTTAATTTTTCAAAGAATAAAAAAGTACAAAAAAGAAATCGGTGTTTGCTTGGTTCACCTAAGTCTGAGCAGTGAATCCAATGCTGGACTTTCATATATATGTTTATCAATCTTTTATATATGGTGAATATAGCATCGTAGATATGCACATTTTGGAAAATCCGATCGAATAATAACAATAGACATGTAACAAAATCCCAAATAAACCATATGCTATGCCTCAATGCTATGGTAGTTCTTGGATTATGCCACATTGTGACAATATATAATTTATTGGCAATAATGAAGAATGTGATCAATTTTAACACCAATTGTGTGAAAATGGTTGATGAAAATGCTTATAATATTTTGAAAGTATCGAGTAGACATTGTTGTTGTAATAGCATGCTGCAAAATTTCAAAATTGGTACATAAATGCTCTGGGATGATTAGTTTTTGGTTAAAACCTGCACATATTAACTACCTAATTTGCATATAATTTAGCCAATTTTAAGCATTTTCACTTGTTTCTCTATACCATTGAACAGAATCAATAAAACATGGTCAAAATAAGTTTTATTTCAATGGTTTTGTAGGTAATGAAAAAACAATTTTTGCTTTATGTTTATCAAAGATATGCTTTTAATCACATAAGTCCTTAGTAGCTGACTTGTCCAAATGAACTCCAATCCGTTCTATTTCTTCTTCACGTTCATATCGACGTAACTGAACACGCAATTTTTCATTTTCAGATTGTATATTTTGGGTTCTTTCAATGAGGTCTGTTCAAATATCGATAGTTCACTTTACTGTTGTGTGTAGTCCTGTCAGTTGAATTTAATTCGCGACTTCTCCTTCATTGACACAAGCTTTCTCAAACTATCCCTGTGTTTTGTGCAATTTACACACATTGTCTTCTGTGTTATGGTGAAAAACTGGCAATTGGCACT